CGCGACCGTCCCAGCAGGATCAGCTGTTGCGGCCAGAAGCGCTTCTCCGCCCGCGGTGCCTCCCGCCCCGGCGATGAAGAGCGCGCCCCCCGGGCTGGAAGAAAGCGAGTCCCCCGCGGCCGTGCAGATTCGCCCCGCAGCGGAGAGCGAGGTGAGGGTGTTCGATCGCCCCGCAGTCGGGGCTACAGCCTCGCTTCTCCCGAAAACCCGGTTCTTTGGAGAGCCAGTTTTGCCCTGCCTGGGTCACAAAAGCTCGAGTGTGTGTGCATGCGTGTAAGAGTTTGTGGGAGCGAATCCCCAGCGACCTTTTCGACCTCCGTACCTTAGTGTCAGAAACAAAGATGCTACTAACCCTTTTAAAGCTGGTTTAGGCTCAGTTACTGAATTAACTCGGTTTCTCAATTTGCATTATTGAACGAGAAAGTAGCCAAGGGGCCTGGTCCCCGCTAAATCACGCTAGAAACGAACTAGGATAAAAACAGGTTACTGATCTGTTACTGTGAAACTCACCTGGAAGGCAGCCTCTTTCCTCAGATGGGCAAAAGAACCAGTTTGTTCCATAACAATCCAGTTGCTTGCATGTCCCAAAGCTGGATTAACCCTTGGCTATTCTGCTCCCCATCTGCTAACTAACTTTGGCTGGCTTTCAGGAGAGCTGGACATTTCTTTAGAAAGTGAGGCACATCACTCAGGATTGGTTTGGCATAATAGCTCCCAAAGGGGTAAGATCTAAATGTTTCAATGTCTCCCTGTGTGCGGGGTTTGAGAAGGGGGAGAATTCAGAGAAAGTTTATCTCCTGATAAGGATCCTTAGCTATTTCATGAAGGTGAAGTAACTGTTAGATTCCACGGCACTGATTTGCCCATGATAGCAGTGCAATCCCGCTAGAATAAATTGCTCTCCTTCTAATGCCACTTAGATGTAATATTGCTTATCTCATGGCTTTCTGAATTAATTCATTTTTAATTAATTAGCTTGGCAATCCAATTTTAATTACTTACAGTAGCTCAGGAAACCTTCTGCCCTTGATTCTATAAGCCATTCTAGTCTTTTGTCCAGTGTTTCTCAACCTTGGCAACTTTAAGACATGTGGACTTCGACTCCCAGAATTCCCCAGCCAGCAGTTAGTTCCATGGCTGGCTGGGGAATTCTGGGAATTGAAGTTCACATGTCTTAAAGTTGCCAAGGTTGAGAAACACTGCTTTAGTCAGAGGCACCATGTTGGACTTGCAATACTTCAGGATCCCACTAAGTGGCAAGCAAAGAGCCATGGAAAATTCTAACCCTTTGCCGCCATCTAGTGACCCTTTGGAATATTGCAGCCTTTATTTGGTAGTGATGGCCAAAATTGGACTCCCGATTCAGGTGCCCCTTCTCCTGCAGGTGATTCCTGGCAGGCTTATCTGATACTTATTTTTATATTTATTGATATTTCAAGTTTGTCACCACCCATCTCACAGTAGAGCGACTCTGGGCGGTTTGCAATAAAAAGGACAATTAAATAGATGATTAATTAATCTCTTTTAGATAAATTAATAAAATTAAGTAAAATAAGTAAAATAGAATAGATATTAATTAAAATGCATTAAAATACAACAATATTTTATGTTTCTGAAATTGGGTTCAGACAGCACACGAAACCTGAAACCCAGGTGATCAAAATACAGTTCTGCGTTCATTTATCATGCTGTGTCCAAACAAATAAATCATGCCATGGTTTCATATGATAACCTGGTCCATGCAGCTTGCTAAAATAATGGCTAGGTTCCCTGAACATGATAAAATACTAACCTTTTCAATCACTAGACTAGAATGTTATATGAATCTAGCTAAAGTAGGGGTGAATGAAGGAATTCTTCCATTTCCAAGCTTAATCTTTCTTTTTGAGTACTTTCCTAAAATGGAACCTAATATATGAATGTCTCTGCATTTTGAATATATTCTTCCCAGTAGAAACAGCTTTCACTGGTTGGAATTGCTAGATACCCCCAAATGTATGAACTTTCTGCTCAAGTCCTAAACTGTACCAGACCTTCTGAGTGGATTCACATCACTTGCTTGATTTTTGGATCTAGGTTCACATCACCCACTGGATAAAATAGCTCCAAATGCTATTTTATACAAAATGCTGAGTCATCTAAGCCACAACAGCGCCCGAACCTCAATGAAAACTCACCAGATTTAGCACGTTATGCCAATGGGGTGCAACCATGTTGTATGAACGGAGCCTCCAATATATTTTAGGATAAAAGTTTAGGGAGGAAAATTCTACTTTTACAGCTGTGGTTGGCCGGGCAATTGAGCTGTCCTTTGAAATTTGATGTCCTTGTTTGAAAAGTGACTCATCTGATGGAGCTAAAGGTTAAAAAAAAGGAAATGTTTCCCTAGCAAGTTAAAGAGGTAAGAGGAACTCAGTGGGATCAAGCCAAAGGCCACGCCGGTCTGCAATTTGGTTCCCACAATGGCACACAAGATGCAACAGGATATGTGCGACAGGGCGCCTCCAGCAACGGAGGCCCCGACCTGATTTGCACATTGGGAAAGCAGGTTGTGGAACTATGATTCATTGAATTATTCACAACTTGCTAAACCACAAACTTTGCTTTCTAAAATGTAAGGCCTTGATTCACTTATGTTTACTCAAAAGCAAGCAGTATCACGCTGTGGCCTCTTGGAATGCATGAATGTACGAACCAAGCTGTCAACAACACAATAAAAGAATTAGCAGTTTATGAGCCCACCTTACATTATAAGGAGGAAGAATAGATGGGGTTTGATCGAAATCTACAATATCAGCGTAGAAGCTTTGGCTAAAATCAGCTATTGATTTTAAAAGTTGATGGGGGCAAAATTGCCTTCAAACCGGAAAAAGCTTTTATGGACTTTATTAAGGTGCACCCCTTTCTTGTGTGAGGGTTGCTTTCATTTCTCTCCTTCCTCATAAAGATCCAAGAGCTGTATGTGATTCTCCTCTGGTTACTTCAGAACAACCCTAGGAGGTAGGCTCTCAAAAAGTCCCCTGCTGGTCTTCATGTATGATGATTGATTTGATCTTCACCTAGAGCCACTACACCACACTGGCTGGCTCTAGCTGGCACCCTCCCCACCCCCTTGTTAAAATTCTCTTTAGTCTGCACTTGGAAGTATAATATTACACATTGGGGAAAAATGTGCATTACACAAATGGGATTTAAAGCCATGCTGCCATATGGACTGTTCCAGAATAAAGTTCCAGACAGGCAGAGCTGGATTGATGCCCTAAGCACAGCTCCACAATGGTGCCCCTTGACGGAAGTGAAACTCTCGTGCCACGAGATGGAAACAAATGTGTTATCTGATGATGCCTACAAACCAAACTTTTAAACTCCAGTCACTCCCCGTGCTAAAGAAAACGTTTTTTAAACAATGCAGATTAAAGTCAAACACGGCAGAGAAGGACATCTACAAAAAGTTTGATTAAAGTTGAGCTTGGCAGTGGAAGAGTTAAGGGCATGATGGGAGGGGGGAACCGGTGGTGCCCCTCCTTCCCTTGGTGCCCTAAACATGTGCTTATTTTGCTTAATGGTTAATCCAGGCAAGCTATCTTCCAGGAAACTCCATTCCCCCATAACACTGGGCATGTTCTTTCCTCAACTGCTGCTTTTGGGTCATGGGTGTGTGTGTGTGAGGGAGACTAGGTACTGTCAATCTGCCACAGCAAATCTTGCGATTCCTCCCAGCTTGCTGACCACTGCTTCTTGTGCCTGAATGGTGCTATTTCAGCCACAGAGTGGCAATGTGTTTTGCTGGATTAATCTAGGATGCTCAAGGCAAGTCAGGCTTTAGCATCCTGCCCTATGCATTAGGGCTGCATGTGTTCAAAAATGATTTGGAAGAAGGGCTTTGATCCTTGCGCGAGCACAATACCTCTTTGACAGTCATTGAAGCAGCCTGATGTTTTTTAGGCTACAATGGAAAAATAATTGGGAAGGCCAAACTATTTCTTGGAGAATGAATGAATGAATCCCAAAGCAGCCAAAACATGTGTGTGTGTAGGTGTATGATAGGATCTGCCTACTGCAGATATAGAAATTGAGATGTATGTACACACACACACACATACAGTATGTGTGTAAGTGTGTGAGTGTTTCAACCCCAAATGTATTTCAGCCCCAGTGCTTAAATCCTAGGTGTTTTTTCAGGCAATGGACTTTTGGCTGTTCCTTTCCTAGCCTTGAGTGGCTGGGATATCCCTACCAATAGAAGAGAATATGTGTAACTCAGGGCTGAACTGTGGCATCCTTGGGGTTCTCTGAGCTTAGTTGTTTTCTTGCAAACTAGGTAACATCTTCACTGCTAGAATGGAATGGAGTTTGCTCTCTGTTTATATACAGTGGCTTGCCCTGCCTGTGTTGGTGGGGGTTTTTTCCCCCTGGGTAGTTCCTTGATTGGGGTTTTGTTTACTGCTTGATTGTATATCTGGTGATAATCTTGGTGTTAATCTCTGCTTATCTAGGTGATGATTGCTGCTGAGGAGATGTTCTGGTCTTTTGTTTCCTTTTTATTGTCTCTTTTGAGTAGTGTGTAGATG